GAAGGAAGGAAGGAAGGAAGGAAGGAAGGAAGGAAGGAAGGAAGGAAGGAAGGAAGGAAGGAAGGAAGGATCGGTCGGTCGGTCGGTCATGAAAGGTTTGCGTTGAATAAACCATGATATTATTGTTTTGTTGTCTTTCAGTTTGGAAGGATCAGAGGAGAAGTTCAGAAACAGAGAGAGTCGACCTGAAGACCTGCAGGTCATTGCTGAGCTGAAGGAGATGGTCACAGAAAGAGAAACTCTCGTCAAAAAACTGGTGGTAAGAAACTGATAACCAGGTCAAAAGATGGAATTAAAAAAAGCTTCAGGCTTCTCTCTATTTGCAAAGACTGATTTATTTTTAAGACATTGTGGCCTAAGAGAAATCTTTCTACACATTTTCTTTTGAAGTTAAAATAAAAAAATATTATTACAATTGTTATTATTGCTTTTATAGAAAAATGTAAATATTTGTTCTTTCTTTCTTAATTGTATCTTGTTATTTTTTCTAATTAAAGAAAAAAGTGAAATATTTGCATTGCACTGAAGAGGTCACCTTGTCCCCTTTAAAAACTGGAAAAACCATTTTAAAATATGACAGAAATGCTCTGCAAGGAATCATTTATACATTTGGAATATTGTTGTCCACCTTTAATAAAAACGCCAGTACAATATTTCTTCTAACGCTTTGATATGCATAAATGAATATGCAGAAGACAAACATTTTGGTTGTGCAGTTTTAGGAGCAGATCTTCCATTATGAGCCCACAAAAACAGTTTTGTTCACTTTTTCTCTAGAGAATAATTCTCTGTGTATTTTGCTAAAGCATCTTTATCTCTTAAGCTGTTAAACTATGTGACGCCCACAGACTGGATAACACTAGGTGTTTAGGGATGGTTGTCATTTCTTTAGCCACTCTGAAATGGCTAAAAAACTTTATCTAAATATCAAATTTAAAATGTTAAAAGTTGAAAAAGAAATACAAATATAATTCATTTTTACAGTCTCTGCAGTGTTCTGTTGCACACTTTTGCATTTGTTGCACCTTGAAACCGCAGAAGTTTAGAAAGTTTAATCTGAAAGAAAGAGGCAGTTTGAGAAGTCAGCAGAGCTTTTTCTGCAGATAGTATGAATGCAGGAAAAACTGCAGAGCTGAGTTTCCTTTTTACGCAGAAAAATCTGCTTACACAACTCATTAAATGTCTCCTTCCTATGAGTCCTCTGCAGCTTCCATGCCTGACAGCTACTGTAACAGCAGTTTCTCTTCCAGGATGATAAGAAGTTCTACCAGCTGGAACTTGTCAACAGGGAGACCAACTTCAACAAAGTGTTCAACGCCAGTCCTAATGTAGGAGTTATCAACCCACTCATTAAGGTAGGTCCTGCACTGCTGTTATTCAAAGCATCATTCCATGTGCAGATCAAACAGGATAAACAAAAATTTGTTTTTTATAGTCGTTTCTTTGCAGTACACATTTCAATGCACTTAATTCTTTAAGAAAAAACTTAAATACTTGTCATTATTTGTACTCAGCCTTTTTTTATTTGACACATAGACGTACAGAAGGGGCTAGGAAAAAAAAATCGCACATCTCGATCAGAGATCAAAATGGGACGATACTTTGAAAATCTGATGGTGGCAGCAAAAGAGTTGAGTGGAGTGAGGTTCACCTTCCAACAGATGAAGGTTCTATGGAAAAGGCCAGAGCTACAAAGGAATGGGTTGGATTAAAACGAAACATGTTACAGCGGCCCAGTCAAAGTCCAGACCTGTTTCTAACTCATGTTTTTAGCTATTTTGCAAAGAACAATGGGGAAAAACTTTTTTTTCTGCACAAGTTTTATAACTTCCGGGGTTTGTTTTTGTTGTTACATGTATTTCTTCTCCATGTTGCTGTATGTGTTTTGTCTTTTTTTGTTTGTTTTTGTTTTGCTTATTGTTTCTGTTTCTTTGTGTGGGAACACACAGTTTAAAGTGGTCTCCCTAACCTTTTTATTCCAGCTTCCCTTTGCTTTCCAAGCCATTTGTTGGAGCGAGATGTTTCCTGCTTTGACACATCTCTTCACACATCTTGACTGTCATTCTGCTCAAAGTGACTGCAGCTTTTAAGACTGTGACCGAGCCACGCCGGTCTCCAGACTGATCCATTCTATCTGCTTAAATCGGTTTTTATTAGGATCAAGTTAGCCTGCTGCTCTTTCCTGTCACTCATCGGCTGGATTTCTGCTTCCTCTAGAGCTTTCCCTGTACTCCATTTGCCCTCTTTCCTTACCCCGCATCATTTTAGTATTATTTTTGCTTTAAAGTTCCCTTTTGCTCCCTTTTTGACCCCAGTGCCCCTCCTTTTCTTTTTTTTGTTTCTGTGTAGCAAAAGAAAAAGAATGAGAAAGCAGCAGCCAGCAGATTCAGCAGCTCTCCTAATCTCAGGGCTCTGGAGGCAGCAGGTATGGGTTTGGGCATTGTGGGCATGGGGACCGGGCAGCCACCGCAGCCCCCGCCCCCGCCCCCAGCCCCACCCAGCCGCCTAGAGCCCATCCCCAACTCCCCCCTCCACCACCTAGAGCTCAACTCCAACAAACCTCTTGCCCCGCCGACCCCTCCCACCGAACCCAAGAAGTTCATGAGGTGAGACCGTTTTCGCTGACAGGCAGCAGCTCGTAAACCGTTAACCATCCAGCAGCAGCTTTTGGTGGAGACTTTGATCAGAAGTTTTATTAAACCTTAAAAAAAAATCTAAATTCTAGAAAACTTCACAGTTCCTGGTTCTGTATTAATTTTAAACTCCATTCTGTGTTTTCATATAGAGCCTTTTTTAAGGTTATTCTAACCAAGAGCCCGATAGGTACTGATTTAAAGTTTGCTGATCCCCCTCTTTAGAACTGTATTTACATCCTTTTTGGTTGATTTACAGCAGTTACAATAGATTTCCTTTACATATTTTTATTATTACATTTTTAAGGATTTCCTCCAAAGTTCCATCAGACAAAGAATTAGAAATGGCTTAATATCAGCTTTCTTAACTTAAATGACAAATATATCTTACATATCTTAGATTTCTGGGCATTGTTAGCCACCCAGTACGATTGCAATCATTGGCTATAGATCCTTTTCTTATCCAGCTGTTTCATAAAAAACAAACAAACAAACAAGAAATGTATTTTTTTCAAAGTTTTCCTAAATGTATTTTTAATCCTATTCAGTGTAACACCACATGATAAATGTTCCACTAATCAAAAAGAGTAGAGGATAACAGTCAAGCTTTGCTTTTGCCCAGGAGTCACTGATTTACTTTAATTTTATTGTTGTTTTTTAACTTTTCTTTTTCATTCAGTTTTTTGGTAAAAATGAGTACCGAATACCAAAATAGATCAAGAAGTTTAAGATAAGAATAATGTTTTCTTTTGCAATTTTGTTTTGCAGTATTAATTATTTTGCACTTTTATTAAACTACTAAAATTAGGAAACGGATAAAACTTCTTATTTTAATGTAATCATTAAGTCTGAATAAAACAAGTTTTTATTCTGAGAAAATAATTGCATCTATTTTGTCAAACTGGCAGCTCCGTCATTTTAAATTCCAGATGTTGTTTTACTTAGAAAACACAATAAGGGATTTGTTGTTTTCCACTCTTTAAGCTTGATTCCTAAAACTTAGTCATTTAATTTAAAGATAATGACCCTACACTGACATCATTATACTGCTTCATGTTTTAATAGATTACGCTTATAGTATTGATAGATAAAAATATGGACGGTTTACAAAAGCACTGTTTAATTAGTGCGAATATTTGCGTTTTCTCTGTTGTAGCATAGCAGCAGGCCGGGGTTAACAAATGCTAAATAAGTGTGAACGTTGACTAGACTCTTTGTGTTTAGTTATAGTGGGTCCAGATCGGGACCACAATCCCGATCTGGACCCACCTGCTGGCTAATCCGGACCAAACCTGATTTAAAACATTTATAAATTACTGCATGTTGTCCGCCAACATTGTCTAACCCTGAAATCCCACATCCTCCGTCTCCGCTCCGCCCCGCTGCGCTCCAGACCTCCTGCCCAAAGCAATGCTTAAAGCCTCCGCTGTTCCTCTGTCTTGCTCCGCTCCGACTTCCTCGGAGCTCAAGGAAAGCATGCGCTATATTATTATTAAATTCAGGAGCAAAACATGCGGAAAAAACGCTTAATTTAATATGACATATTAAAAAATCCCCACCATCATCCAGTCAGCATATGTTCAGTTTCTGCCCAAATATTTTCGTTTTGTTGTGGATTTTTGTAGCAGGAATAACTAGGATCATACATGTTTTGTATGAACTATGTTTGTTCTCTGCTTCCAAACTCAGCATCTCTTCATCCCGGCCTGAGATGAGAAGTTTCTTTTGAAGTTGTGAGAGGCGCTCTCTGGCGTTTTGACTGGATTTGATCAAACTTTTAAGCCTCTTACTATAAAATAAATATTTTGATTGAAAAATTGAAAAATCTGCTTCCTGGTATGTTGAAGTACCAATAGTTTGCATCCAATCAATTAAACAAACGGTCTTAGTTTTTGAGAATATATAAGCTCACGAATGAGCCTGGAATGGCTTTAGAATGGCTTTGTCGTCATTCAAACCCAGGTTTAAAGCCTTGCAGGGCAGCATAAAGCCTATTAAGCCATAAAAAAGGGGGAAAAACAGTCATTTCAGGTGTTATATAAAACATGTGAATCAGGAACTTGTCTATATACCAAACTGAACGATTGTTGTACTTCAAAAAACACTTTAGATTTTAAAATGCACAATTTTTTCGATTTTTTTCTTTGTTTAAAAATTCATTGTATAACATGGATGCATAAGAACCTCATTTTACGTCAGTGTTAAATTCTGTTTAAAGTAAAAGATTATAATTAAAAATCTCTCCGGTTTACTGGTTGATGATTTCTTTATTCGGACCCCGCTGATTTTTAATTGGTTACCTCTCTTATAGGGTATGCACTACCTTAGCTCCTAAAATTAACCTTTGATATGTTACGTATTTCAATGCTAATAATAGAGTGCTAATGAACATCACTGAAGCTTATTAGCATATTAGCATATTAGCATGCGCAACAGGCTAACACACAAACTGGTGCAGAACACGCACACAGTTGCTGATTTATTGTATTTATTTCTTTACATAAGTGAATTGCACAAAATACAATATCTTTAAATTGCTCTTAGCCTAAACTATGACTTTATGCTAATGATGCGTTCCAATCCCGCCTTCACTGCCAGGGTTTTGGCACTAAATGGGCGAAAAACGCTAAAATAAAATTTTTTCTTTGTGTATTTTTCGAAATGTGCTGTTAAAAGATATGTCCCTGATTTTCAGAATATAAAATATTTAGAAATATTTTGTTCTGCACTTACAAGGTTTAGCTTTTTCTTTAATCTGACATAAAAACATGCAGCTCAGAATGACAGTTTTTTAAAGCTCTGTCAGCCACCTAAATCTTTACATTCAGTTTTTTTATGCATTATGTTAAATAAAACACAAAAACAAATTTAAAACTGTCTAAAAACACATATGATGACATAATATCTTAATGATTTGATGTAATATATGCAAAATTTAAAACATAATAATCATTAAACTAAACGTTAAATTTGAAATGATTCCCACAGGGAAATATAAATGGGAAAATTAGTTCAGCAGTTATATAAAGTTTGTGTGGAGCCTGTTTGATCACTTAGGTTTGGTATTTTACTGAGTTTTTCTCTACAGCAAGGAGGTTCAGCAAACAATCAATAAAATAAAAAAATAGGAGACAGTTTCCTGCTTTTGTTTAACAAAGCTTTCAACTTTTCCTTAAATCACTGACCCTCCACTGACTGCTTTCTGCTGCAGCACATTTGAACTCGCATCACAGCTTCTGAAATAAACTACAGACTTTAAGGAGCAAAAAATGCAGCCTGGACATAAACACAGCCGTCCCACGTTTGACTGAAGCTTCAAAGAATGGCATTGGAATGCAAAAGGGGCATGTTCTTATTCCCTTGTTTTAAGTCTTTTTCAGTTGTGTCCATCAGTGTTTAAATATTGTGTGCATGCATACAGGGTTGTTTTTTTTCTGTGATGGAAGTTATAACACTTGTCAGCAATCGTTGTGGTTTGCGTTGTGTTATTTTGTGTTGCTCCATCCTCATGTAAAGTTCAGCATGTTGCTCTTTCCTCCCAGGCTCTGTGACGTGTTTACTGTTCTTATAAGCAATGTGTTATTTTGAAGTTACGATGAAGCAGATGCTGCCCTGTGCAGTTATGGACCGTTGCGTCTGTGACCTCTGATCCAGAAACAGCTCAACTCCACACAGTCCAACAAACAACTCTTTAATTTCACATCTACGTTGATAAATTATGT